CTCCCGTCACCCCAGCTGGTTTCCCGGGCGCCAGCCGGTCCGCACGTTACATCGTGTGGGGCAAAGTCGTTCTCCTCCTCCAGCCGTCTCTGCGGACACCCGCGCCGGTTTGCCCTTCTGCGTCGCTCAGCTCCTCCTTTGGGGGTGGAACCGATCTTCCGGGGGCGGCCAGGAAATGGCTGAATGGGTGTCCCCCTCCCTCTGCAACGCAGGGTATTCGGCACGGCCGGAGGCGATGGGATTCGCTGGACGGGCTGACACTGTTGGCACGTTACCTGGTGTGTTGGCCAGAATTTCTCCCTCCTGGCCTGGAATCCGAGGCTGATGCCGGATCAAATGCAGCTGAAATCTAGTGGAATGACGGTGGGAAATTGGTTCCCCCTAGAAACAACTCGGCTCAGATGCCAAATCGCTCCTGGATTCTCCCGCCGCTCTCCTTTTATTTCCGGCTCCTTTTGTGGCCGCCCCTCGCCCGCCCCAGTCTCCCCGCTGTGACTTACAGCTTCAGAGCCCCCCCCTTCCCTGTTCCATCTCAGCACAACCCTGCGGCTGAAAGCCCGGAGCACGGCCCTGTCAAAGCTGAAAACATCACGCGGGGTCCAGGAGAAGAGACGAGCTCCCCTTCCCTCGTCTTGCGCAATTGCAAAATGAAGCATGAGTCCGGCTCTGCACGAAAGGGCTGTCATTGCGAACAGATGCTGCCGCCCGAAAGCCGGCGTCCAATTCCCTGGGGCGGCAGGAGGGGGTAGGGAAATGGAAAACATCTGGATCGTTTACATCCCTTCCCCATGTGCTTGGGTTTGTTCCGGTGCTTTTCTCTGCCGGACGAGGCCGGCCCCTGGCGGTATTCGCTGCGCCTGTCTGGAGAGGAGCTGTTGGGGAGGTCTACGCCACCGCATTACCTCGGTGTCGCCATGCTGTGAAAAACCCACCCCCTGCGACTTGGGGACGCTGACCTAAGTGCCGGTGTACCCACACAGCCGGCGCCTGGCGGGAGGTTAGTTACACCGACTGGAGAGCTGTTCCTGCCCACACAGCCGGCGCCTGGTGGGAGGTTAGTTACACCAACCGGAGAGCTGTTCCTGCCCACACAGCCGGCGCCTGGCGGGAGGTTAGTTACACCGATGGTAGAGCTGCTCTCGCTGACATGAAGCATCTGCCCTAACACGCTCCGTCCGGGCCGACGGAAGCTGGAAGACCAGCCCTGCCGGAGGGTCTGTGCACTGCGGTCGGGAGATGTGGCCCAGCACGTATCGACCTAGCGGAGCTGCCCAGCACAAAGCTGTCTTGAGGAGCGACCGTGGTGACCCCACGGCCGCCTGGCTGGCAGCCCAGGCCAGGCCCGGCGCCCCGG